AGCAGCAGCAGCAGCAGCAGCAGCAGCAGCAGCAGCAGCAGCAGCAGCAGCAGCAGCAGCAGCAGCAGCAGCAGCAGCAGCAGCAGCAGCAGCAGCAGCAGCAGCAGCAGCAGCAGCAGCAGCAGCAGCAGCAGCAGCAGCAGCAGCAGCAGCAGCAGCAGCAGCAGCAGCAGCAGCAGCAGCAGCAGCAGCAGCAGCAGCAGCAGCAGCAGCAGCAGCAGCAGCAGCAGCAGCAGCAGCAGCAGCAGCAGTAGTAATAAGTCCACCTGGATATCTATTTATCTATTGCTCTATCTAGTTCAGTTTTCCTGTTACAGACATTTGTGCCCTTTTGCTTCCAACAGCAAAACCATGGTATAGCCAAGGAACCACACCAACCCACTGCTGACCATTGCAATTTTGTATCTACTCCCACAACCTGCAAACCCCTGACCCCTAAAAACAATTTCTTTAAAAAATGAAGCATGCTTTTAAAAAATGAAAATGTTCCCTTCTGCTCTTCAATGGCCAAACTCCATTTTTATACAGTATAAAAATGTTAGGAAGTGATGGGGATTCTAGGAATTGGAGTGGGGGCTCAAACATGGCAAAATGGCCCCTTCATTCTCCTAGTAGGCACAAAGGAACATTTAAAGCCCCAGTTTTAAAAGAAACAATTAGAGATGGGAGTGAACAGCTGGTTCATTGGTTCGTAATGGTTAGTTCTCTGGACACACAAGTGTTTTGTGGGCACCCTGGCTTCCTTCTTCCACCTCCTATGGTAGGCGCCTACTCAAAGGAAGAAGTAGGGCATGGAAACCTGGGACATTGCCTCTGAGTGGATGCCCACTGAAGGAGGCGAAGGAAGGAAGCTAGGGTGCCTACAGAAAACTTCTGGTCTGAAGAATGAGCCATTACAAACTGCCATTTCATGCCCAACTCTAGAAATAATTAGAATTATTGTGGCATGTGGGGCCTATTGAAGCTGTATGTGTCCCACTCTGTACTGATGTGCAAAGCCTGGGACATTGCCTCTGAGTGGACGCCCACTGAAGGAGGCGAAGGAAGGAAGCTAGGGTGCCTACAGAAAACTTCTGGTCTGAAGAATGAGCCATTACAAACTGCCATTTCATGCCCAACTCTAGAAATAATTAGAATTATTGTGGCATGTGGGGCCTATTGAAGCTGTATGTGTCCCACTCTGTACTGATGTGCAAAATGAGAAAGCATGTTTTCATACCTGTATTGGCAGCCTAAGATCTTAACCCTTCATATCATGCCAGTAAGAATCCAGAATATTCAAATCACTCCTTGAACATTTAGTTTTTTAAAATATTTGTCCTCCATTTTAGGATATCATTCAGTCTAGGTTGACGGGTACTGAGAAGCTCCTCCACTGGGTGTGGACATCGGACCTGCCTTTCAATTGTACTGATCACTATGTCAGGATTCGCTACTGTCTTGTAGACCATGGGATATGTAGTGAATGGAGTGAACTTGCAAAGATACCTGGTAAGACAACATTGCTGAGAACAAATTTGGGAGTGGTGAATACTGTTTTATCAGATGCACTACATGGGTTGTCTGGAGAGGTGTAGAGCTAATGACTTCCTAGTCCACACACAGAACCACCAAATGGTTCATCATGTATTTCTGTGACCTTGTAATGTTTTATAAAAAGATTAGCCAGAATTATTTTGCTGACGTGCACCAGCATAAGTACACCATCATAAATTGCAGCTGTGAGTTGCCCCTACTTAAGGAGTTACTGTTTGGATTCCTTGTTGTGCACCAAATCATGTGACTGACACATAATGAGAAATAAAGGCAGGGCTCTCTATCATGGAAGTGCTATAAGTGTGTTTAACTGGGCATGCTTATAGGCGTCTCTTCAGACCTTTGCAATGAATGTACAAAGACCTGATTAACAACAGGGGAGAGGGGAAAATACTGGGACAAAGACTAAATGAGAGTACCCATTGCCACCATGGCTGCTATGCTTTCTCCTTTCAGGCTGCAATGCTCGAAGACGGCTCCTAGCTTTGATCGCATTGCATATAGATATGAATGTTGTTCTTTGAGGCAGGGTTTTTACAAAAGGATATGGGATCTGTCGCACTCCCCAGTAGCTTAGGAATACAGTGGTGCCTCGCTAGATGATGATAATCCGTTCCACTGAAATCGCTGTTTAGCGAAATCATCGTCTAGTGAAAAGCATTTCCCCATTGGAATGCATTGAAACCTGTTTAATGCGTTCCAACGGGGAAGAATCATCATCGGCCACAGGAAAACCGCTTTGCCAACCGCCAATCAGCTTTTTAAATAGCTGTCTTCCAAAGCTTAGGTCCCAAAAACGCCCGTTTTGCGAGCACGGAGGGAGCTATCAAAATTGTTGTCTAGCGAAAATTGGATTGCGAAGCAGGGACCAAACATTGTCCAGCAAAATTCCCCCATAGGAATCACTGTTTTGCGAATCGCTATAGCGATCGCAAAAAGTCAATGTCTAGCGAAAAAACTGTCATGCAGGGTTACTGTCTAGCGAGGCACCACTGTAATTCCTAGGATGTTGCATCCTTGAATGATTTGGATGAGCAAACTGCTCCACTGAAATGGGGGAACAGGCAAACATTTCACATCTTTCTTCTTTTCTGCCCTTTTCACCCTTGTCCTTGCAGGAAAAGATTCTGGAATGTATCCTATAGACAAGGTGGTACCCATGGGTACAGACATGACTTTCTGCTGTGTGTGGAAGCGTGGAGAAAGTATGACAACCATCAATTATGGTGGATGCCGATCAGGGCATTGTTGGACTGAAACTCTCACTGAACAGAGCATGGCACTCCATGCAGAAAAGGTTGCTCTTTCACCATCATCTGGATTTAATGCTTGGTGCCTAGCAGAGACCACAAAAGACTCCGATGAATCAATTTATGGAACGGTTCTGTTCGTGGGCTGTAAGTATGTTGAACGATGTAGGTGCACACTCTTATAGCTAGGGCTACAAATCCCAGGAAGAAAATGTGAACTCATCCAAGGTGGAGATCAGGCCTGGCTTCAGTTTTGTTACGCCAACATTCAGATTGTTCTAGTGCAACACGAGAAAGCCTAGTGTTGCAAAAGTGTGTGTTTGTGTTTGGGAAATAACCTAGCTCTCTTAGCTTTTTGAAATCCTATACGTTCAGAAGCATTAAGCATGGTGCATGTTGTGATACTCATTATGAAATTAGCTGGAGGCAGGGGTGAGAACTCATTCATTTTGAGTCCTATTTGTGTGAATTTATTTATGTGTTTCTTTCTTTGTTTCTATGTTCACTGCCCCATTAGTGTTGAAATGCTATTCTAGGCAGTTTACAAATGATAAAACCAATGTGTTGCTCAATATACTAAAGAGCGCATCTATCCTCCAGAATAAAATTCTTATATTTTGAGTTCTTACTGAAATATCTTTGATGCCAACATCAGGAGCTATTTTAAGAATACTATCCATTTTGGTTTTGCGCTGTTTCTTGTTTTCCTAATAATAATTTCATCCCATTTATATATTCATTGTGAATTCAGCAAACATTTTTGTGTACACAGCTTCTCAAGCCAATTGAGTTTGCATTCATGTTATATGAGAACCTATAATCTTTTGCCAGTCCCAGCTGTCCTGGAACTGTTTAATCAGTACGATTTGCATAAGTATTGCTCCCCCATTCAGTCGGTCTACTCTAGTCAAGACTAGCAATAGGGTGGGTGCATGACTCATTAAGTAGACTGCTGGATGAGTTTTTATATAAGTAATAATACCATAATAATCTTAGAACTGCAGAGCTGGAAGTGACCCAATGGATCATTGAGTCCAACCCCTGTCAAGGAAGCATAGAAGGGAAGCGCATTCTCTGGCTCTGCAGCCAGATGCCTGTGTACTCAAGACTTGCTTGTGTTTTGAAATACTGTAGATAGTAGAGCCTCTTCTCCATCACAGGAAGCTGTGGACCAGATGCAAGTAATGGGTTTCACAGCAGAGCTCACCAGCTGGATTTGCCCATTCCAAGGTACAATCTACTTGGTTAGTTGCGAGTGCTGTAGATCAGTGGTTCCCAACCTTGGGTAACCCAGGTCTTCTTGGATTGCAATTCTCAGAAGCCTTCACCACCAGCTGTGCTTGCCAGCATTTCTGGGGGTTACAGTCCAAGAACACCTGGGTTACCCCTGATGTAGATGGATTACAATTAATTCTGATTAATTGGGTAGGACATAACCACTGATGTAGATGAATTACATGAGTATGAGCAGAAATAGTAAATAGTCAGCCATATGCCACATACATGCTTGGAACACTTACTGGAAAAGACAGAGTTGCACGTACAATGCATTTTAACAATGTTTAACATGTTAATTTATTTTCCTCCCCCCCCCCAATTTTGTATAGATCCACCTGATGTTCCAAAAAAATTAGATTGCACAGCTCAGAATTCTGAGGAAATAATGTGCCAGTGGCAGGAAGGAAGACGCACAAACTTATATGGTACACGGGGAACACACTACTTTTTAATAGAACAGTAAGTCTATTTTTGGTTGGGAATTTTATGTCCTTCATTAGTAAAATTGATTTCAATTGTTTTGTTTTTTTATTCTTTTTTCTTATTTTTGTGGGAGTCCAACGGAAAACAAGCACTGAAAAGGTTATTCTTTAGTATATTGTTCATGGCATTAAATATTTTATGTGCATGCAAATACATACACATACAATGGATAAGGATGCGAAAAATACTCATTCCCTTTGGTCTAGGCAGTCTCAAGACTCAATGAGGAATTTCTAAACCCTTACCTCCAAGGAGAGACAAGGGGCACTTCTTTCCCTCATCATAGTTTCTGAAATTTTCTCAAAATATCTCTGTGGCTGTCTCCACAAAACTAAAATATTTTCCCTTTAGGAAGCAAAAAGCACACACAACAAGCCCAGAAAGGCTGGATGGTTGTTTTAAAGAGATACAAACAACTAATCTGAAATGTCTAAGATTTTGTTAATGTCTACTCAACAAGGGGGCAGCTATTGTAGTTTTGTACAAGTAATGTAATTTTTACAAACATTGTCCAGTAAATAACATTGTAGAACACCTCACAATCTTGCAGGGTAAGGATGAAAATTTTGCAGAATTCCTTATTCTTTGAGGACAAGGAAGGATATAGAGCACACACACTGATAACCATTCATGGTTCTTAATTTGTGTGTGCGTTTGTGTGCAGGGCTACAGATTCTAATTTTACATGACTCTTGCTACACAAAACTTTAGTTGGGAATCAAATGATTGAGAATGGGATGCCAAGAGATTTGACGGGCTTCAGGAAAGAGCTTCTAAGCCTCAATAATGGTCAACTCAAAACCGTTCCATTCTTTTCTAGTTCAAATTAAAATCTGAACAGAGATAGGCTTCTCAAGTGAAGAGGTAACTCTAGGAATACCAGGAGTGGGAAGAAAAGTCCATCGTCCAAAGGGGACCCTTTCTCCCCAAGAGTTCCCCTTCAGCTGTTCTGAGCATAGCTGTTCAAATCAACCCTTCCACAATCCAGCACAGAAATTCTTCGCTGCTTTGCTTGGAACTTGCACAGAATTGGGGGTAGAAGTAGAGGTGGTCTCTGATTAGGATGATACTTTGGGGGCCACTCCATTATTCTTCAAGCCATTCCTCAAAAGCCCACCTGCAGCACAAAGACTGGAAGGAGCCATTTGTTTGTTTTTGCTAGGAGTACACATTAGGGAGGGAATGAGCTAAGAGCAGAAACAAAGAAATAGGCACCAGACATGGGCTTGAACCTTGGTGGTTCATGCCAGTTTGTTTTTCAATCAAACAGGTGCTCAGTGTTTCCCAGCCCCACCTGCTCCGGTGTCCACCCACTCAGGGGCAGTGTACCATCTTACTTGCCCCATCTCCTCAGACATGGCCTCTGAGTGAGTGTATCCAGAGGAGACAGGGCTGGGAAGGACTGAACACCGGTTGAACTGAAAAACGAACCGGCACGAATCGCCGAACCAGTGGTTTGTGCCCATCTCTACCGACCAGTGGCGAACCTCCCTTATTTCCTGTTGAACTAAAAAACAAACCAGCACGAATCGCCGAACCGGTGGTTTGTGCCCATCTCTAATAGACACCCTATATTCAGAGCTGAAAAAACTGTCTGGATAGCTCAGTGAGCAAGAGCATGAGAGTTGAATTCCCCACTATGCCTTCAAGGAGAGGAGCCAGCCTCTATAGCCTTGGACAAGCTGGAGAGTTGAATTCCCCACTATGCCTTGGACAAGCTGCACAGTCCCAGGGCACCCCCAGAGGAAAGGGAATGGCAAACCACTTCTGAGTACTCAATACTTAGGAAATCCTAGCAGGGGATTTGTAGTATTGACTGAAGGAAAACTTTGAAAGAACCCCATGCTTAAATCCTGAAGACCAATCAGCAAGCAAAGCAAGCTAATTCGCATAATCCTGGAAGTGTGTGAAGCTGGTGCTCTTAACACGGCTTTTATCATCTAATGAAAGATGTGTGACATATACCAGTCTTTAAACTATTTAACCCCATAGCTCCTGTTGCTTCTCCACCTCTACTGCCTGCTCCTCTTGCTTGAGTTAATGATATGAATGATGCTTTTCAGATGGAGACAACATAGCAAAGAGAGTGGTTCTGTGAAATTATATAGCCGCTCAGAGCTGGCACTTGTGGTGCTGCTGCTAAGGGGAATAATGTATAAATAAGCAACCACAGAATACCCCCAAATGTACTGAAGAGCCAAGGGGCTTCCAATACTGAAAGTTAATATATATTGTACATATCCAGCTTCATCAGATGGCAAAAGGATTTGATTTATTATTTATACAACATCCTGCTTAAATCTTAACAAGCCTTTGTCTTTAAATTTGCAGATTTTCTGGGAAGAATATTACATGTATACATGTCAGAAGAGGCCAGCAACATTTTCAGTGTAATTTTCCAATTCTGACAGATCAGACAAAATATCACTTCACGCTCGAGGCCTACAATAACCTTGGCCATTCCAAAGCTTCGGTTTTATTGGAAATTGACTGACAAGGAAATGTGAAAGAAAGCTTTATGGACACTGTGTGGGACTGGGATATTTCAGAGATTAACGTTCAGTAACCAATCTGCATTGCCTTTCTATGGTCTTGCAACTGCAGTGAAGCAGTCTTGGGAATGGGGTGAATGGAAGGGTTTGTTTTCTGATTAATGGGGTAGGACATAATGAATGGAATTCTATTTGCAATAATCATGGAATAAATTATTGATGCCATTTCCCTGTAATGCTTTGTTGAAAAATCTGTTATGCTCATGATGACCTTGGTTGTCAGGGAAGCTAAGCATGGAGTGAGGTGAGCCTGAATGAAGGTTGAACTAGATCATATGGTGATCCAAATTTGGGCAGAGCTTCTACTACAAATGGTGAAACACATCTGTTTGTCATAGCCTGTGATGTTTTCACCTCTGTATTTTACATCATGTGAAAGTCTGGACTGGATAAATCCCAAACCGGAATTAAGATTGCGGGAAGAAGTATCAACAGCCTCAGATATGCAGATGATACCAATCTGATGGCAGAAAGCGAGGAGGAATTAAGGAACCTCTTAATGAGGGTGAAAGAGAAGAGTGCGAAAAAATGGTCTGAAGCTCAACATAAAAAAAAAACTAAGATCACGGCCACTGGTCCCATCACCTCCTGGCAAATAGAAGGGGAAGATATGGAGGCAGTGGCTGATTTTACTTTCTTGGGTTCCATGATCACTGCAGATGGTGACAGCAGCCACGAAATTAAAAGATGCCTGCTTCTTGGTTAGAAGACAATGACAAACCTCGACAGCATTTTAAAAAGCAGAGATATTACCTTGTCGACAAAGGTCCGCAGAGCCAAAGCTATGGTTTTTCCAGCAGCAATATATGAAAGTGAGAGCTGGACCATAAAGAAGGCTGACCACCAAAGAATTGATGCTTTTGAATTGTGGTGCTGGAGGAGACTCTTGAGAGTCCCCTGGAATGCAAAGAGAACAAACCTATCCATATTGAAGGAAATCAACCCTGAGTGCTCACTGGAAGGACAGATCCTGAAGCTGAGGCTCCAATACTTTGCCATGAGAAGAGAAGACTCCTTGGAAAAGACCCTGATGTTGAGAAAGTGTGAAGGCAAGAGGAGAAAGTAATGACAGAGGGTGAGATGGCTGGACAGTGTCATCGAAGCTACCAACATGAATTTGACCCAACTCCGGGAGGCAGTGGAAGAGAGGAGGGCCTGGCGTGCTCTAGTCCATGGGGTCACGAAGAGTCAGACACGACTTAACAACTAAACAACAACAAAATCTTGCATCTAGTATGGTTTATTTTATGACTGGTCATTGGACATTAAATATGAACTTTATGTGTGTGTCTGATTTCTAAAGCATGTACTGTATCTCTGGGTACATCCCATTGTGTGAGAGAAAATGGAGCAATTGGGTTAATCGGAGGGAATTCACATTCCCTTTAATGTCTATCTTCATCTTGAGACTTTCTCTGTTTAAAGAACTCAGAGGCGACAAAAATGATTCAAGCTTTATCCCCTACCTTCTTCTGAAGACTGGTACAAGCACAGAGCCATACTAACCACTTCCAGGGGCTGAGACATTCAGAATTGTCTCTGCACTCAAGAGACATGTTGAGGTTAGAAAGAGAGCAAACTGGCATGTTTCTGCTTCCTCTGTCTCTCTTAGAGTTGGAATAAAGAAGTGAAGATGCTTGGAATTGGCTCTACATGAAGCAGTGGGTGCTCCAGACACTGGCTGTCTACCTTACACCCATCTCTTGTTGTTTTTAAATGTCACAGCTGATCCACCTCTTTGGAAATGTCTTCAAAGATAGTTTAGAGAAGGTGACATGCAAATAATCCCATCTTTCATTTGAAATCAGGCTGATTTTGTTTTAATTGCAAACTTCTAAAAGCATTTCTGAAACTGAATTATCTATGGGAGACCAGAAGCTGCTGTTTTCTTCCCTTATTTTACAGTTTTCAGACATGTTGGATCTCATCATTCCCAACTAACAACTGCATTATAGGATTTTTGTTTGTGTGGGTTTTTTTTTTAACTGCATGAGATTGGGGGAGGCAGTTCTAAAGTGGCAAACAGACCATACTTGAAGGAAGCAATAACAAATGTGCAATTGGGAGTCCAAAATTCCCTGTAAATCTTACTATTTGTTTCAGAACAAACTCAAATTCAGCTAGTAAAATATTTTAGCTTTTCATATGGATTTTTTTTTAATCCTAAGGAAGTTGTAACGCCTCCCACATGTTCCTAAATGTCCTTCCAAGCTGTCTTCCCATAAACTTTCTATATGCTAGACAAGGTATCAAATAAGGGATTTATGGAATTGGAGGGAACAGGGTAGAAACAAGCAAAACCATGAACGTCAGCTGGTTGACATATAAGGAAGCCCTACCCCTCTTTGCCTACAGTGCATTGAGGAGGCACTTGTTCTTGGTTGAGGCGTTGGAACACACCTTAGAGGGGGACAAGTCAGGGAGTCCTTCACCAAGGATGGTAAATAGGGGAGGGCGGCCTTCCCTGGGCAGTGATTTCAGTCTTGGGGTTCACAGTCTCCACAAATGGGATGGAAGTTGGTTGAAGAGATGATGCATTCACCTTGCTGGAACAGCAGTCCAATGTTCTGGCCTCTACCGTGGATGGGGTTCCTTCCACGCTTCTTCTGGGTCGCTTCCTGCCCCATCCATGCCTGCCTTGGTGGTCGCACTCTCCCCTAAAGGATGGCTTCTTTGGGGTCTTAGCTCTGTGGTCCCTTTCTGTCTCCTCAGGTAATATGAGTACTGTAGCTGCACCCCACTCCTCAGTCCATATGTCCTTCTGCTCCATTACTTCCTGACACTTGTAGGGGGGGCGGGGATTCACTGACTCCCTGTTATAGCTGAAGGTCCAGTACTCTCTGTTATTCAAAATCCTAGCAAGAATGTAGTTTTATTTTCTTCACAATATTGGCTCAACAAATTGATTCAAGTTTCCTAGAGTTACATAACTTCTTTGAATACTTGGAGAAATTCCTGCCCACCCACTGCTGAACGATCTTTTGCTCTGGATTAGATAGAAGCAAACAGCTGGTAATTATTACATAGAAACATTTTCAATGAAAACACATCCCCTCTTCAGATGCATTCATCCACAAAAGTACATAAAGGCAAAACTAGCAGTTTTTCGGTGTACAAGTCACCTTGAGTCCCTCTGCCAGGCAACAGGTGGGATAGGAAAAATAAACACATAAGCAATTAACTGCACGGGGCAAATCTCTGCCTTCCAGTTTATGAAACTGTTAATCTCATTCTAGCTGAATTGCTCAGTTTCCCATTCATGTTTTTTTCTGTGTTAGATTGCAAGCCTCAAACTATCACCGCACTCTGTTGTATGGACATTTCTTACTTTTGTATGTTTACTTTTATGTCTATCACGAAAAATGATGAGACCATTTTCAACTCACATGCATGCTGCTGGGCAAAAGCCCAGGGAAAACAATCCCCTTATACAGCACTAGATGGCACAATAACTTAATGTGCTGAACTGGCTCCAGCCACACTGCGCCCTGTTGCCATTCCTGTAAATTTCCATAGACCTATTATATTCAGTAACGTAACAGAGCATTCTAGGTCTTACATTTCTCATTAAATGAGTGCTCCACCAGCATAAATCAATACTAATAGATGAGACTTCGCTAGCATTTTCCATCGTGTGCTCCACAAGCTACACATAGTGTGACCATTTATTGTACAATTATGTTGATAAATTATTATTGTTCACTGTATTATTATACAGTTAAACAAACAAATTGTCTGAATAATTCCTGAACATTCGCAGATATAGAATGTAAAGCATGTAGAGGGAGAGACATTGGAAGTGGAATTTTGTGGAGAAAACAAAACATTACAAGAGAGACAAATTGTAACACAGCCTCCTGTTCCAAAAACAGGATGTTCCGGTGGGAATCCCCTGGAATTGCAGGAAGACAAATTTAGTTGCCAAGATGTTCTCTCTTCCTTTTGCTTTCTGATTAGAGACAACTTCTGAAAGTGATCTGTTTTTATTTCCCATGGACAACTAGGGGCTAATTTGGGTAATCCTATATACGTATAACATTCCTGGGCTCCACCTATGCTCGGGACCCATCTTTTTGTGATTTGGGATGATCCTACATATAGAATTTATGGGAATCCATAGGGACCCATGCTTGGTACCCATGTTTTTCAGGTTTGGGGTGATCCTGCATATACAATTTGTGGGGATCTATGGAAGGACAGATCCTGAAGCTGAGGCTCCAATACTTTGGCCATCTCATGAGAAGAGAAGACTCCTTGGAAAAGACACTGATGTTGGGGAAGTGGGAAGGCAAGAGGAGAAGGGGACGGCAGAGGAAGAGATGGTTGAACAGTGTCATCGAAGCAACAACCAACATGAATTTGACCCAACTCCGGGAGGCAGTGGAAGACAGGAGGGCCCGGCGTGCTCTAGTCCATGGGGTCGGACACATCTAAACAATTAAACAACAGCAACAAATGGGGACCCGTGCCTGGGATCAATGTTTTTGTGATTTTGGGTAATCCTATATATAACATTCATGAGGATCCATGCCTGGGACCTATGTTTCTGTTTCAGGGTAAGCCTACATATAATCTTTAAAAATAACATTTCTAAGCCTCAGGCTTTCTACAAGCAAAACATGTGTTCTGCCACGAAGGTATGGCTTTCCCCCAAATTTATAAACAGCTTTACATTTTGTGTTAGGTGAATGGCTCAGTTATCTGGCTGCAGAGGTTGCCTCCCAAGAGAACAGCCAGCCTGTGTAACCTTGGACAAGCCGTATAGTTCAATAGCACACCCGGAAGAAATGGCAGAACACTTCTGAGCGCACTGAACATAGAAAACCTGGGAAAGAGTCACTGTAAGTCAGCATTCACTTGGGAACTCATAACTATTATTATTGGTGCTCTGCATTAAAAGTGCTTAAAAGACATTTGTAGTTTCGATGTAAACTAAGGCTTCAAATATGTATAGAATATATTTTATAATATACTTTAATATAATATATTTTATTATATCATACATAAAGTATTTTTTAAAAATTTTAGACACAGGGGCCTAGTTTGTCTTGAAGCAGTAATACGAGTCTCAGCTGTACCACTTCAGCATTGGTGTCCACAAGGGGAGGAGGAAGGCAGGGGCTTTCTTCCCCATCCTAAATTTACACAAACACACCATGCTATAG